TGGAAAGCGTGAAGAACTGAGTTGTTTTCTTATTTCACCCACCCGGCCCTCCTGCTGCTACACAGGCCACAGGAAGCATTCTGGCTCACTTAGGCAGAAAGGGATTTACTGACAGGACACGGGGGGCTCAGACAAGGTGAGTGGGTGCTAGAGGCCATGTGAGCACCTGGAGGCAGCCAAGTGAACCAGTCACAGCAGTGGGTGGAGGAGGTTGCGCCCCCCCCCCCAGGGCACAGCCTCATGGTGGCTGTTTCTAGAAAGTGCGTCAGGGTAGGCACTGCCTGCGGCGTGGCGCTGCTGGTGGAGAGAGCCCAGTCCAGGCACCTGACTCAGACTGGCCTGGCGGAGGGACGGGGCCACGAGAAGCAGCACCTGTGAAAAGCGTGGCCTGACTGGGCTGGTGCCGAGTGACCAGGTTCCACTTCCTTTCCCTGGGCCTCTGAGCCTCGGAAACTCACACTCACCCCGACGCTAAGCGAGATGACAGACCACATCCACTGGCCGCCGCCTGCGCTCGCTCGGATGTGGTGGCCCGGTGATGAGAGTTAGGCCCCTGCCCCTCTGCGCCTGGCTGGGCCCCTTGTCTGTCCTCCTTGCTGACAGGCATTCAGCTGCCAGTGACCAGGCTCTTCTTCGGGCAGTGGGGGGCGGCCACGTGCTGGGCTCTGGGCGTGGCGGCAGGCTGGCGGCATGGGCAGGGTGAGGTGCGGGGGCGGGGCAGCGGGGCTCCGGCCTCCCTTCCAGGCCACACCGTTGGGGAGCTGGTGCTCGCGCCCACCCTGCCCCTGCTTGTCTCCTGGGCAGTGGGCTTCTCTTCCCTGCTGCTTCCTCAGGCCCTCCCCTGCTCCCCCCTTCCAAGCTCAGATGAACCCCCGGGGAGGACACATTTCCTCTTTCCCTCCTCTGAGCTGAGTGCCGCCAGGCCAGTGGGGCTCGAAGGGGGAACCACAGTCTGACAAACTCCCAGTTTTTCACAGGGGCCAGTGGAGCCCAGCGAGAGTGCTCACCCCTCTCGGGCGCACCGCACACTTTAGGGTCCAGACCCCAAGACCTCTGGACTGGGCCCCTGCTCCCTCCAGGGACATCAGGGACATTGTGGCAGTGCCTAGGGGTCTGTGTGGTGTGAGCTGAGCCTCCCACTAGGGCATGTCCCCTGGGCACAGCCGTTGGGGTGCTGAGCCCCCCAGGCAGCCTCGGGGTGCTGGGGGACCATGCCCTCCCTCATCGTCTGTGGCAGGGCTGAGATCCCTGATAAATGAGCCTCGGCAAGGGTGGGTGGTAACTCCTTCAGGCAGGAGGCTGAGAACGGTTTCCATGGAGACCGCCCAGGCTCTGGTTGCCATAGCAACACTGGCAGGAGGTTACAGCGCTTCCTATTTTTGTCAGCTTCACATTTCCAACTGCTGTCCTCGTCAGGCCAGACCCGGGTGGCATTTCAGGGTGGGTGACAGACTCAAGGGCCAGAGGGGAGGCGGGAGCTACTGTGCACGGAGGGCTGACGAGGGGGGCCCCCCCACCCACCGCAGGGTGCTGTGCCCAGACACACGCGCTCGCATTGTGACCCAAAGTCCTTGCACGCTGCTCTCCACGTATCTGGTGTCACATGGCCTTGAGTACCTTTCCCGAAATAATGTACACACATCCACATAGCTATCTTCTAGAAAATGCACAAAGGGGATATAAATTCTTGCTCTGCCACCTGCCTTACCCTAATTATAGATCTCAGAGAACCCAGAGAACATCAGCACAAATCGATCTGCCTCAGTATCGCCATAGCAACAAAATATCGCACTGAAACAGCCAAGCCCCCAGTGGAGGGACTTTTGTCTTCAGTCTCGCTATGACAGCCGTCGAGATGCTGGGTCCTTGTTAGCCTCTAACCACAGGACAGTTTCCCGGCAGTGACGCTGCTGGGCCAAACCCAGCAACAAACGGCTTTTGAAAATTTAAAATTTGGTTCTTGTCCAATTTGCCACCATTACTGGGACAAGAGGGCTGGGCACACCTGAAGGCCAGATGTTGATCAGCGTCTATACCCCACCTCATCCGCAGGACCAGTAAAACCTCCAGTCTCACTCGCAAACACAGATCATGCACTCCCCAGCAGGATGTTAGTGAACAGTCTAATAGTGTAGAGACAAGATAATACTTGGTGACCAGTTAATTTACTCACCACACGGACACATCAAAGGCGGGACGCACTTGATCAAAAATTCAGCATTCACCCTTGATTAAAAATGAATGTGAAGAAGACAATTCTCTAAATTCAGAGAATTAGCTAGGTCAAAACAGAACTCATGGTGATTTCCCCTTAAATTCGAACTTAGTAAGATTTGTGATGTGATCGTGGTACTGAACTCTCCCAACTACCTTGGACCTAAGAATAGGTGTGTAGTTAATGTCCCTGGCAAGATAGAGGTGGGGTGGGGGGGGCTGGGGAGCAGAGGCTTGGATGATGTGGGGGTCTCTTGGCATTTTGACCACGCGTGTGTCTCCTTCCAGAGCCTACACCTCTTTTTTTTTTTTTTTTAAGATTTATTTATGCATACAGAACTGGGGTACAGGCTAGAGGCTCAGGGGTGGTGAGAGGCTTCACCAAAGACAGAGTGGGGAGCAGAACAGGCAGATTAACGAAGTACACTGCTGAGGGGAGCAGCGGGCGGGTCAGGAGAGGTCTGCCACGCCATGTGGTCACCTCCGGGGCAGGCGGGGATCGAACTCATGCGGAAGCGGCTTTAGATTCTCAGTGCTGTGCTTTAACCCGCTGCGCCACCAGGGAGGGCCTGAGCCTACACCTCTCTTTAAAAAATCAGGGCTGGCTGTGCAACTCGCTTCGACCAACATTGCCATGGAGTTATGTTCTGGAATTTGGATTCCAGACCTTATGAGGACTGGCACCTTCTGCTTTCTGTCGGTTGGAGCTCCGCTGCCAAGCTGCCAGGAAGGCCACGCTCCTGCCTGGAGACCTTGCCCAGCAAGGCCCTGGGCAGGGAGGTGCTGTCCTGGCTGCTGGGCCCAGCACAGCCTCCAGCTGACTGCAAAGTAGCGGGGAGCAGCCGGCCAGCAGGGCTAGCTCCAGCGGGCAGCTGCAAGCCATCAATCATCCCGAAGAATAGGGGAGAAGAGTACACCGCAGCGCTAGCCCTTTAAGTTCTGGGGTGCTGTCATGAGAGGCAGTGGGAGAGGAATTCAGGTGGTTTCCAGGTATATATTTGTCATCTTGTGTATTAACTGTGGACATTTTGCAAATGTTCTGGGAATGTTCCCCCACTGGCCCAGCAGGTGAGATCAAGCACGGTGCAGAGGCTGCACCTCTCCAAGTCAGGACTCACTTCCTGCGGCGTGAAGCTGCCCAGGTAAGCCGGATTTCAGCCCCCTTGAGTCTGGGCGTGGATGAATTCAAACAAGAATTTCCCAGCCTTCCAGCCGCAGCCTCCAATTCTTTTTTTTTTTTTTTTAAGATTTTTGTTTATTTTTGCATACAGAACTGGGGTACAGACCAGAGGGGCAGGGCGGTGGGAGAATTCACCTCTCATTCTCTAGAAACCAGGGGTGCCATCAAACAGCAGAATGTGACCTGCTTTGCATGCAGCTTGGCCTTTCTTTAGGTCATGACCTAGGAAATGAGAGATGTAAACTTAGAGGCCACCAAGCCCCCAAAGGCACAATTGCATTTCCAAAGCCTTGCTAATTTAATCACCTCATAAACTACGGAGAATTTCATCTTAGGTCAATGTAACTGACATATATGATTCACATATAGCATTTAGTATAGATGAAAAGTTTCAAAATTAAAAATGTTAAAAAGTTGCTTACAATCATGCCTTTTGCCTGTGGGGCTCTTTTGCTGTATATAAATTCTAATCTTGGACCCTCCCTGCTGGCCCAAGGGGTCAAAGCCCAGCCCTATGAAGCTACCCACAATTCCCGGCCAGGCAGTGACCCCCAGGGCCCAGCAGACATCTCCTGACCCACCCACTGCTCGGCTCAGCAGTGGATTTCCGTAGATCTGCCTCTTCTGCTCCCCACTGTCTCTGGTGAATCTTCACCCCCAGTGCACCTCTGGCCCATACCCCAGTTGTGTATGTATAAATCTTTTAAGAAATTAAAAACAAAACAAAAGAAATTCTGATCTTTCCACGCCAGGTTGTCTCTGCTGGGCCCATGTTTAGACGCTGCTTTCCTCTTCCGAGATTATCTTTTAAATCATCAAATGCTTTTATGGCTTCATTTCACATTCAAACTTTGACCCAGGAAAACTGTGTGACAGGGAAGTAGGATCCAGGTTAATGTTTTGTCAAAACACTAACCAGTTGTTCCATTAAGAACCCGCATGGCCCCCACTCACCCACCAATTTCCTTATGTTAAGTCCACTTCCAGGCCCTGCCCCGGTGACCGGTCCCTCGGTCACCAGGCACTCAGTGCTGGTGATCTTAGAGCCTAATGCCTGGAGGCTGTTCATTCCCTTCTTCAGTGGTTACTCTGCTGTTGCCTAGAATATGCCAAATAAAAGATAAAGCCTGCTTGCATTTTAACGGCACTTGCACTGCATTAAGACCTGCACCGCATTCAGACCAGCTGGGGTAACAAAGCCCAAGTCACTGTGAAGGTGGCCTTGGGAGCCCAGAGGCGTGTCTGCATGCCTCGCAGGCTGGCTGGATCCCACTCGGAGCCCCGGGCCCAGGCCCCATCCTCCTGCCGGATCAGGGCCTGGTTCCCCTTGGGTGCCCACGAAGCTCTGGCTGTGAGCAGCTCCCACGGTCTCCTCGCTAGGACATGACCCTGCATCTTATGCCAGGCCTCAGCAACGATCCCCCAAGACTCTTGCTTACTAATGGCCAGAACTTGTAGGGAACAGGACACCGTCCAGGCACTTAAAGGAGAAGCAATAATGGTATCATGTGTGCAGAACCAAGCTGGAGGTTTACAGGCACTTAAAGGGAGCACGACCTTGGCCTAAGCTCTCCCGGCCCTCGTACATCTGCCTGGCTCGGCCTACGAGGCTGACACCTCGAGGATGGAGATGCCGGGGGACCGCTGCCTGGGCTGGGCCAGGACCCCCCCTCACCCACGCCCCTGCAGCCTGCAGGGTGGCGGGAGGCCCCACTCCCAAGTCAGAGTCAGAAGTCAAAGATTTTTATTGTTCTACAGATGCTTCTGAAAAGATCTAACTGAGAAAATATACAAAGCATTTAAGTCTCACACCTAGAGAACACCGTCTGGCTGGAGGAATCCAAGTCCTGTTCAGGAGTTGGGGCTGAGGTGGGTTAGCGAACCTTCAGTAAAAACATGCAAAAGTGAGGAGAAGGGGAGACTCGGTGCCCCCCAAAGCAGAGGGGACGGAATGTGAGAACAGGAGGCAGGTGCACAAGTACCAGGTGTCCCCGGCTTCTAAGGCAGCCCCGAGGTGGGAGAAGGCCGACTCTGCCCTCGGGCAGGACCCACCTCCTGTGTCCTGCAGCCTGCAGGGACCCCACTTGTGCTCCTGAGGGCCTGGGGCGGGGAGGGCTGGTCCTTCTTCTTTGGTTCCACTCAGACAACAATTGTGCTTGACTTCTCAGCCCCCAAAACTCTACGCTGAAGGCACTGACCGACAGGCATCCCGGGGAGGGCCCCAGAGGACAGCCCCTTCCCTTGTGCTCTGGGTGGGCCCATCCCTGGGCACACCCCCTAGAAAGTCTTCTGGGGCTTGCCTTACTGTGCAGGTACTTCTGAGACCCACTTCATACTCCCCCTCCCCCAGCGGCCCCTTTCCCCCCCACAAGCCACCCCCTACGGCTGTCAGAGCAGCTTGGGCCAGACCCACTTCAAGACGGTGGCCGCAGAAACATCTTGGGGTGTCCCTCCACGCCCCAGACCTGGAGGTCTGCAGAAGTGGGGCCTCGAGAGGTCAGGGTCTGGTACAGGGAAGCCGGCGGGGCTGGCGAGGACCCCGAGACACTCACATCTAAGGAAAGGCGTCCAAAGTACAAGCTAAGCGAGGGGAAGAGGAGGCCGAGGCGGGAAGAGAAAGGCAGG